TGGTAGTACAAATCCTTACCACTAGGCCACCTTTTCTTTTACCCCTGGTATCTACACTTTTATTCCTATATATTCTTATATTTTTAATACTCGTACCACTCTTATCACTAATCTATACTTAATCTCCCACAAAGTATAGAGACCATTTACTTTCCTCAGAGGTAGAAGGCACGAAATGAAATTGAACACACTGCTTAAATTACCAAATAACTTTTTAAAGTAATTATCCAACTGGTGTTAATGGAGCATAAGTTCTTTGTAACTTGTCAGAGGAAGCAGCACTATATAAACTTAATGAGTTGTTTTAGCAATTATGATTGCTCTCCACTGTCTCTACAAATAAGTTATGACAAGTGGCAGTATTACTGTGTTTGAGATATCTTAGCTGCCATAATATGAATTCTTGCATTCTTCTTGTTGGAGGGAACTTAAGATTCTGTAAACAATTTTTAAATCCCAGGAGGTCATCTTCATTAGATCCCTATGAAATGGAAAGAATCTGTTAAAGCAACAATGGCTAACTTTCTGGGCCACCCAATTGTGGGTATGTTCCCATTTTTCTATTTTCAAAAAGTGGAGGAGGCAGGTCTGTGGAGAGAACAGTGAAGGAGAGCTCAGACTGTCACTACAAGTATTGTAAGATTAGAGATCTATCTGCTTTACAGGAAATGCCACTGATTATACAAATCATCACTCACCAAACAGTAGATTCTAGAATCTCAGAAAGTGGTATGTTCTTCATTCGGGCATCACTATTAAAGTCACAGTAGTAAAAGATAATGGTAATCGGTCCCAAAAAGCCAAGAACTCTATGCTTAATGGTCATGAGAAGTCACCTGTCACCTCTATCTGGACTGTGGAGTCACCACAGAAGCCTGAAAGGAAGGAACAACCACAGCCTGAATGCTGGTTATAGAACCCCTTGTGATGTCTATTATTTTCTGTCCTGAATGAGAGAGGAACTGGACCTGTGGAGAAGATAAATGTTCCACAGTCCAGAGCTGGAATGTGATGAAGCTAGATAGGAGCACTGGTCTGCTGGTTTCTGAGGTCCTCTCTTTCTCTTCTTAGAATAACAGCATTCCCACAGAACTGTGGCCCCTGGGGACTCACATCTTGCCCCCACACTTCATGGTCTGACTCTGGGAAGGCAAGTGACCAGATGGCATAGAGATACCCAAGATTTAGTGTCAGCTAATTGACTTTGGAGTAAGGCAAGGTTACCTAACCCTTCCCTGTCCAGATCCCACTGTTCTACATAGATTACTTAATTAAGGGACTTTTACCATGAGGTTGACCTGGCGGCCTAATGGGAACAATCTGTGCTGCAATTCCAAGGCACAAAGTTCAAATCCATCATATGCTCCACAAAAGAAGGATGGCCAACCTCTTCCCATGCAATTAACTGCTTCTGAAATCCTGCTGGGGGGGGTCAATTATGGGTTGGTTCTGACTCGATGTGATGGCACAAAAAACCCAACAAATCAGAACAAGGGTCAGCAAACAATTAACTTGTGAGGCAAAAGCAGCCCTGTTTTTGTAACACAGCTATTTGTCTTCACACAGGTTACGGCTGCTCTCATGTTACTGTGGTGGTTGTTGTTGACTGCTGTCAACCGAGCATGACTCATAGTGATCATATGAATCAAAGGCCTCAAACCTTTCTGTATCTATTGTCATTTCTCCAGGTTCATAGAGTTTCCAGATGCATGAGGTTTAGGAAGTGGATGCCACTCCTGCTTCCAAATATGTCTTAAACTGGGAGCTCTACCGAACACTGTCCACTACAGGCAGCCATTCGGGCATTTGACCTCCAATGGCACAAGGTTCAGCTTCACAGCAAAGGCTGATTACCACAGTACAGCAAACAGACAACAGAGAACTGTACAACCTGGAAGAATATGAGTAATTTAAGCAGGGATTATAGCCCCTATTGTGTCATCAAGTCACCTGTGACTCACAGCAACCATATGTACAAGAGCTCTGAAGCCTGCCCTGTCCTGAGCCAGTCTCACTGATCAGCACACCTACTCCCATTGCCCTAGTTACTGTATCAATCCATTTCATCTGGGATCTTTATCTCCTACACTGTCCCTTCACCGTTCTAAGTATGATTTTCTTCTCCAAGGATCCTCCTGGCCACATGCCAAAAGTATGTGAGACGGGACTTCAAAATCGTAGCCTATAAGGAGAAACCTGATTTCACCCTCTCCAAGACAGACCTATTTGTTTTCCATTGCATGTTCAAAATTCTTCTCCAGCACTACAACTCAAAGGCATCAATTCTTCTATCATCCTTAGTCATTCTCCAGCTCTCTGATGCATAGCAAGACCATGGACTGGATCAGGCGCACCTTAGTCTCTAGACTGACATTCTGGCTTCCCAGTATTCTGGAAAGGTCCCTGACAGCAGACTTGCCCAATATAATTCATCTTTTGATGTGCTGACTGCTGGTGCCAAGAGTGTTGATTGTGGAGCCAAGCAAGCTGTAACTGTTATCAACCTCATTCTCCTCTCCATCCATCATGGTGCTGCCAACTGACCCAGTGGTGAGAATCTTTGTCTTCTTCATAAAGTGAAAAATATTTACTGTCTGCCCACATATAGAAAAAGTTCACCAACTACTGCCTTTAGCACCATGAATATCTGAGTCCCTGAGCAGTACAAACAGTTAATGTACCTGGGTACTAATGAAAAGGCTGGAGGTTCAAGTTCACTCAGAGACACCTTGGAAGAAAGACCTTGAAAGGAAGGGCTGGAGATCTACTTCAAAAGAAACAAGCACAGAAAAATCCTGGGAAGTGTATTCCCACTGTGTCACCATAAGGTCACTAGGAATCGGAGTTGACATGAATGCAACTGGGTTTTGCTCCTTTAAATATCAAAGGGCAAAGAATGGAGCTAACAAATTACTAAATTCCTATGACTTTCTGTTTTGGATTGTTTTAAAATTGTACTGTTTCCCGTATGCACGTATTATTTGTTCAAGGATTTAATAGACACAAATGTATAAACTATATCCAAAGAGAACACTAATTAACTAGACAATCACTTTTCATAGTTAATATAATTTTATGAAAACTAGCAAAGTCCAACAAGAGACTGGATGTCCTTAAAAATTTTAAAAATATATCAGAAAGATTATAATCTATAAATTCTATACAACTGTCATTCTTTACTTATGAAGAACTTACAAAGCTGATCCCTTAAACCATCCAACATTTGAACCCAAACATAAATAGGAGAAGGGAGACAGCTGAGGATATAAATGAAATATTTCTCATTATTTTCAATGTGAAACTATTTGTTACTATGCTCCCTCCCTCATTCTCCTTTTTTAAAAATGTAAAAGTATCTTCAAATTCTTTGGTGAAATAGTGGAGTTCTGGTTTGGGATTCCCCCCCCCCCCCATCATTTTGCTCCATTACCAAGGCCATCAATACCTGCTGGGATCTGCCTTTTCCCTTGTCCACAGTCCTCCAAAACAGTGAGGAAATGATACTGCTTATGAATAAGAGAAAGTCATAGGAATTTAAAAATGAACTGAACCTGAGAGGTGGCCAAATACAATGCCATCTGCTTGATGGCTGAGAAAAAAGCTCAAGTCCAGGAATATTAACTTGTAGGCCCTGTACTTTAACTAGTTAGTGGTGGGAACAGAACCGGAACCCAGTTTCCTGATCATCCGTTCAACACACATCCCATCACAGTCGGCTCCCTGCCCTGCTGAGTATCAAGTGCCATTTGGCACCAGACAGCTGAATTCTTTCAAAAATATGCCCAAGGTACCCCTATCACAGCCAGAAAATTTACAGTACCCTTTTAAACAGCGTCTATGGGCACATGATTTTTCCCCCCTAAGTACAGACAATTGCAAATACTGTCTGGACCCCAGACAGCATAGGAGTCACAGTAACGCAGACAAGCAGTCAGAGAGCTAATGCGGATCCCGAGCTGTCTCTTGTATCGAGTCTTGATGGAAATAAGTTTGAAATATACACCCCCTCTCTTACCCCTAGACACACACTCCCAAGACTAAACAGCAATATTCCATAAAAAGACCAGATCTAGCCAGTGTTATTATCTGTCTGACATTTGGGTTATTCTTGTGAGTAACTCATATATAACGTGGGTGCCTGTGATTATTTGAGTACCACGGCAAACCATAATTGGTCAAAAAATAATAAAAGACATTTTTCCAGTGACAAAAATACTATATTGCATGACAGCATGGCACTGTGACAGCCCTCAGTGGACCGCAATACTTTCTCAACACACAAAAAAGCAAAAGAGAAACAAAAGATGAAAAATCAGCAAGAAGCCCATTTTGCAGTCAGTGGCTACCATAATTCAAATTAAAATTCATTATGAAAGACCTAAAAGTTTTTGAGTGGTGACAGTAATTCTTCCATTAGTATCTCTTCCCCCAAATCCATGCTATATATCAATTTATAATAAAGAGCAGAAACTTGGCAAAAGATGTGAGTCTATATTCCTCTCTGTCAAAAAACACAGGTTTTTTACAATTTCCAGGCAGTGTGATTTTGGGTCTTTTTTTTTTTTTTTAAGGGCCTGACTATTTATAAAGTAAAAACTTTTATTTCATTGTCACCTACCATATTTTAGAAGATGAATTTAATATAATGCAAATTCTACTATCAATGGGTGGGGAGAATGTGAACCTGATCAATTATCAGTCCTGCAGCAGGTTTGACACCTACAACCTGCTTTCTTCACGACTCTCCTCATTTCTACCCAGCTGCAGAGGTGATAAGCAATAGGGATGATATTCTAGTTGCCAAGTCTCTAAGAAGACAGGATCAGGTTTTAAAATGATTCAGAAAGTAACCCAAAAGCTCCCGTGAAAGCAACACATCGGTTCTCAGAGACAGAAAGCCATGCACACGAATAGCAGTGTGGACAGTGGGGCTGTCTAAGGGTTCCGGCCTCTAAGCACTGCTTTCGGTCAGGACAGTGAGGGGCTGGGGAGGAACTCACCCACTCGGAAGTTCGTGGCCGTCAGGGTGTCGGCGGCGTGACCATTCTCACTAATGAGAGTGGTGGTATTCCCCTTCTCACAGCTGTTCTGACAGCTGCCCTTGCTGCAGGTCACTTTACAGATGCTCGGAGTAAAGACCACCTTGATGCGGCCAGTGTGGTTACTCACTAGGAGCGGAGGCAGGGAGAAAAAGAACAACAAACACATCAGCTTAGTATCCATGAACTTGCCTTGGAAGACTTAAAAAAAAAATAAAATAAAAATGTAATTTAAAAAAAGGGGGGGAAGAAAGAAAGAAAAAGAAGAAAGGAGTAAGAAAGGGGAAGAGAGAGCCCACAATCCGACAGGTTAAAGGAAGGAGAAGCCTTGAATGCTCGCTGCTCTGTATCCAGTGGTGTCTCTGAAACAGGAGTAGGAAGCTTAGCAAACAGAACTCTGGGATGCACTCCAAAACCACATTTGAAGTCGAGTCACTGGAGTGGGATTACTAACCACAATGCTGCACTTTATTCACGGGCAGACAAAGAGCAATACCGAGGGCACAACAGATTAAAGAGCCAACCCTGACAGGCAGATGTAATGCAAAGGGCTTGGCCATGAACCTAGCGGTGAATAAACGCTTGTGTCCTCGACTTGCATACTTTCCCTGTTTCTCCACTTATTAAGTCACTATTTGCAGTCCGACCCCTGGAAATGTTTTAAGCATGCGGCATGTCTGAAAACATCTGTCTCAAATCTCCTGGCACTGGGAGCTAAAGTGATCAAATCCTGTGACGCAGCTGCGGGAGCCCATTGCTTTTTTCACAACTTTGGAGCATTCTTTCTCCCTAGGAATTGATGCAATATATATTTTGTTTTACTGTGAACAAGACCCTTCTAAGAAAAACTCAAGCAAGGTCATGTGGCTAAAGGGTTGCCTCTGTTTAAAATACCACCTGGGGCACTAACTGTTGCTATTTTCAGACCACCTTAAGCAGGTATTTCTTTGCCTCACATGGATCTCTCTTAGGAACCAAATGCTATATCTCAACCTCACAGTGGAGGCAGCAGAGTGCAATATAAGGGCACTAGATTCAAGGTCAACCTCTGAGTTCTACTCTTAGCTCAGTCATGAATTTATGACTCTGGACGAGTCATTTTAGCATTTCTCCCAAATATGAAAAGCCTGGAGCTTATGTTTTCTAGCCAGGGCTGAATGTCAATGTCCAGAACAAGAATGATGACAAGTTCTGGCACAGGAGACAAATTTCACTAAACCTGACCCACTGCTGGGGTTTTTTTTGGTAAATAACGTCTTATTGGAATATAGCTACATTCATTCACTGCCTAAGATTCCCCCCACCCAGATAATAATACTTATCTATTTTTGTAAATAAATCTTTATGGGGGGAAGCCACTCTCATTCATGGTTTAGGGTTGGGTTGTTGTGGGTTTGGGTTTGGTTTGTTGTGTTTTTGTTTTGGTTTTGGTTTTTGTTGGTTTTTTGGGGGGGTTTGCTTGGATGATGAAATGTATGTATTTTTTGCAAATAAAGTTTTATTGGAACACAGGGCCCTCATTTATTGCCTAGGGTTGCTTTCTGCCTACAACTGCAGTTAAGAAGTTGCACCAGAGACTTTATGGTCTGCAAAATACTTACTACCTGACCATTTTCAAGTTCACCAATCTCTGGCCCAACTAATGGCTCAGATAAAAGCAATGTCCTAAAATCCTGAGGTTAATAAGCCCAGATGAGTTAAGACGGAAAGCTTCCTTTCAGTACCATTTTAGGCGTCGCCCAAAACCTTTCTACTTCAGCCCGTTCTGCCCTTCACTGCCTGATCACAATCTAAATTCTTAGCTGTTTGGCAAACTGCACTACATAAACTGTTTCAACTTCAGCATCTGTGACAGGTTCCCAGCCAGGTCCTTCCACTTTCTAGGAGCCTAGCCTGAAAAGGAACGTGGTAGCTACAGGTGACGAGAGAGGGTTCATCTCTGAGAAGTTGGCTGGCAGAAAGCAGTGGCCCTCCTGTTGACCACTGTGCTAGCGTGCTAACACAAGTGTCTCATGGGAGGGCAACCTTTCTTCTGTCCCCTCTTCCATCAGAACAGCTGCTTCTCCGTACTGCTGCATTTTCGGGAAACTATTTAAGATGCTCCTAGAGGTCCTCAACAAAACATATTATGGTCAACATCTGATCTTGTGTACAAAGAACTTTAACTGAAGAAGTCATTACAGTTTCAACATGTGAATTGAGACTCAAGGGCTTTCTGATTCAATCAGTTTCTCTTAATTGATTTCTCTTAATCAGTGCTTGAATTCAATGAAGCAAGTAGTCACGTAGCCAATCTGAACACTCTGTTGCTGCTGCTGCTTCTGCGGCTATGTGCCCTTAGTTGATTCTAACTCAAGGGAACCCCTGAGGGACAGAGTAAACATTCTGCACCACGTTGTAAACTTTTATGGAGGCAGACTAACTGCCACATCTTTCTCCTACAGAGAAGCTAACAAGCAAATGGCCTTCAGGCAACCAGCTAAGGACTTAAGCACTGTGCCATCTAGGGGTCCTTCTGAGTAGCTCAAGGGCTAGGGGCTAGGGGGAGCTTCTGTTGGCCTAGAGAGTTGGGTTAGTGCTGCTAACTCTAAGGCTGCACCTCTCTGTTGGTTCAAATTAATCTGCAGCTCCTCAGAAGAAAGATGAGCAATCTCCTTCCACACGACTGTTGTTTACCATCAGGTCTGAACCAACTCATAACTGACCCTCTGGCAGGTTTTCAGAGGCAGTTAATCACACAAAAGGAGACTGCGCATCCTTCTCCCGTGTAGCCCCTGGTGGCCTCGAACCACGTGTCTTTGGGATTGCAGTGCAGCTCCTTGCCACAACGAATGTTGTTGTTGTTGTTGATTGCCTTCGGGTTGAGCATGACTCATAGTGACCCTATGAACAAAAGGCCTGAGGCCCCTCTACAACTATCGACACTTATCAAAGTTCATAGAGTTTCCGGAGAAATGTTACTTAGGAAGCGAATAGCACTCCTGCTTCCAAACAACTAGTGGACTCAAAAACCCAATGAAGAGTCAGTTGTGAACAAGTTCTAACTCAACACCAATGAGCTTCTGAAGAGTAATGGAGGTTATTACCACCAGTTTTTGAGTTGATTATAACCCAACACAAATCTCTGAGTGTCAGACAGAGCTGTGCATCACAGGGTTTACAAAGGCTCATTTTTTAGCATATCACCAAGCCATTCTCCCAGGATACCTCTGCGAGACTACTGTCTTTTCATTTACCAGCCAAGCTTGTTAGCCCTTTAGATCACCCATATCAGTGGCAGGTAGACACTTTCTGTGAAGAGCTAGGCAAATGTTTTCTGCAAAAGATCAGATGGCAAATATTCCAAGCTTGTGTGTGAAAAATATTTCACTGCCATGGCTCAACTATGTGACTGTAGCAAGAAAGAAGCAACAGACAACAGGTGAAGAAGCAAGCATGGCTCTGTTCCATGACTGGTTCAAATAAAGTTTTATTTAAGTAAACGGTTTGCTTTCTTACCTCACTTTAAATGCTTGGGCAACATTATAAAAATTATCAGAATGTCTACCTTAGTTCCCCAATAACTATAAAACAAGCAGCCATCCTCTCTAAGTTTTCAAGTTGCCCTGACACATATCTTGAGGATACTTTGTGTCTGTATGTACAGTACAAGGAGGGAAAAAGGGAGACAACATCTTCCCACTTCAAAAGACTAGAAGCTTCTATTTTGTCTGGCTCTTTGTACAATAACGAAATTGGAAACAGTGTGCCAACTCTGTGGTCCGCTCTGGCATTTACTCGCAGCACCAGCAGCTGCTATGCCGATGCTCCCACAGTCACCTAAATAATGCCCACTTAGGAGAGGACAGATATCCAAAGAGAGCAAGTATTCCATCGTCACTCCCATCTTTCCGCTACATCAGTCACTTGACAAACACTTGAGATTCTCTGGGCTTATTGTTTTTTAAGACATATAATGTTTCATTAAAAAAAATAGCCTGGAATCACCTGGCATTTCAACAGGCAGAGACAATTTCATATGACTTAATTCTGATTTTCACAATGTCCACATCTTCTTGGAAGAAAATATGCATTTTATTTCTTATTGTCCCTTGGGTTTTACAAGCAATCTGCTAGAAAACAATCTCATTTCAAAGAGACACTTGTCTTTTCAGCAGGTCCTCTTTAGCTTTAGTCTTCAACATCAATTCTTTTGAAATGAGAGTGTGAAGACTCACAACTATTTCTGATCTGTCACTCGTCACTCTTGATAGGATCTCAACAAATACTGGATGAATTAGGAAATACACTTCCCCAGACCTGACGCATAGCTGACCACCCGTCCCCCGCATCACCCCTGTAGCTGGTTTTCAGGGACTACATACAGGAGGGACTGCACATCTCCTTCAGAGCAGCTCACAGACTCCAAGTACTGCCTTTGAGTTGGCAGTGCAACTCCTTACCACTAGGCCACCAGAGCTCCCTACATATGTAAGGCAGGATGCAAAAATTTAACCTTTTAAACTACACAGAACTAAGATCTACTGCGCAGTGTTTCACATTAACAAAGAGGGCAGACCACTCACTTTTTATGAGTTTAAAAGAAACTCACTCACAAAATATATACAACTTTTTCCATAGGTCTCTTCTAAAAAAAAACCAAACCTTCCTAGAATAAGTGGCATCCAAGATGGAGCAAACGGTTCTACAAAAAGGTTGGAAGTTCAGGATTACGCAGAAGCACCTTAAAAGAATGACCAAGGAATCTATTTCAGCACATTTATACTCTAATGCACACATGCAGTCACACTGAATTAGAACTGACTCAATAGCAACTGCTTTATTTTCCTTGAATAAGCTGTTAACTACAAGACCTCTGAGTGGTGCCTTATATACCAGTAAATGGGAAATAAATGAAAAGGCTTGGGTGTGTCCATATAAGTTACCACCCCTCCAGAGCTGGGGGAGGAAAGAAAAGTCATTGTTGTAGAATCAGCGCAGTGACACTACATCAGGTCTCCAAGGCTGTAAATCTTTTTTATTTAATTGATATTTTAACAAAATTTTACAGAAAACTTGGGTTTCCATTCATTCATTGTTGCCCATTTTCCTCCCTACCCCTCCCCCAGTTCACTTTTCTCTTTAAAAAG